CACTGAAACTGGACTAGAGAGGACAACTCAGTAGTATCCTGGCGACAGGATAAAACCGTGATTACTCCAATTCTTGAGGGTAGAGGTCATAAGATACTGATAATTTATATGGAAAGATTGAAAGGTATCTGAGATGACAAATATCACTTCCATTTCAGGGGTGAGTCCCTGCACCTCCAGTATTATAGTGATAAGAGGGGACTCAAATGAAAAGAAGAATGTGAATGATACAAAGCGAGAAGTTTTATCAAATCAGTTTAAAAACATACATCTTTGAAAAGCGAGGTAAGTATTTATTCTAGCTCTTAGGATCAAGTCATCTTAACATACCAGTGAATTCTGTTAAGGTTCAGCAAGCCTGGGCCCCAAAGGATCATAACTCCTAAAAAGGGTCTCATAGTACAACAAAACAGAGTGCCTCTCTATGTATCTGTAACTCAAGGTAATTTTGTCTCATTGTGTATCTACTTCCTGACCCTCTATCTCTAGATAACTTGGCTTTGAATCCGGGTTCTGCCATTTCCAAGCTTGTGACCACCACCAATTTACTACTACTTTGAACTTTGATTTTCTCAGCTATAAAATAATGATAATTATTTTATCATCACCAGGGCTATTTTAAAGATGAAGAGAGTTAAGATATGTCAAATTCTTAGCCAAGAGACAGTTATATAACAAGAGCTCAGTCTCAGTCAGTTATCTCTGGATTCATGCATGCCTTTTGAGTTGCCTCCATCTTTTTAAATTAATGCATCTACATATGCTGCTATCCCTGTGCCTCTGTGTCTCTTTCACATGACCTATTTCACTCCCAGCTTGTACACTTTATACTTCTGTATATTTTTAATCTCTAACTCATCTCTATCTTTTGCTCTATATTTCATTATATCTACCTCTATTTTTATCATTTTTATAGATATCTACTCAGCTCTCTTTTGCTTTCTTATATCAATTTTATAAATCACTACATTGTTATCACCTGTTCCTAGGTTTATATGGTTATACATCTAGCCATGTATATTTCTAAATAGCCCCATCTATCTATAGCTATTGTTGAAAACTAACACCCAACCTCCTGGTCATTTGCAAGACTTAGCCACAGCATCCTCCTCCATGACTCTCCTCCCACCTCTCTCTGAAAAAAAGCAGGAAGCAGGAAGTAACAAGGGTCACAGTGCTCTTTGGTCTTTGGACTGGACAATATCAATTCATTCTCCAGTGGTTTAAGATGCGTGAAACAAGCCCAATTTCATGCCATTCTTCCATTCATCTCTTTGCCCATCCATGAACACACTGATATTAATTCAGGAATCTGGAGATACAAAGAGGAAAAAGTTAGAAATTCCTTCAGGAAGTGTACATCCTATCAAGAGATGAGTGAGGGAGACTCTGGGACTCAATAATTCACATTCTGGTGAGGCCAGCTGGTCTATGTTTTCAGTTTTTCTTCTTCACTGATTTCCTGAATACCTTCTAGGCCAATATCAAGCCCAGGGCTATACAAGTTCAGAGCACCTTGGCCAAATTGTGTGATCAGAGAACTACTTTCTCTGTTGTAGTGGAAAGAGTCCTGATCTGGGACTAGAGCTACCTGGAGTCTTATCTCTCCAACACAGCCATTAGCTTTAGGCCCCAGAGAGTTTCATCTTTCGGGGCTTCGGAGTCCTCAGCTGTAGAATGACAGGGTGGGACTGGAAAATTTCTGGGGACCCTTTTGCTTTGACCTTCTGAAAGTCTATGATCATATGCAAGTTTGAAATGATATCTGGAGACCCCCTTAGGAATGAGTGTTGGGACCCAGAACTCGGGCTCTGAAGTCAGGGGGACTTGGGCAGAGACTTCTCCATAGGAGGGACTGGTATGTGCACTGTAGGTCACAAAGCACTTTCACACCCATTATTTGATTTTATCTTCATGAAAACCTAGTGAGGCATTTTTACTCCCATCTTCATATGAGGAAACTAAAGCCCAGAGAGCTAATTGGGTAAATGAGTACTAACTACTTTAGATCAGCTGTCTCATTTAAGTCGCATGATAATCCTATGGCTTTTCCAATTCTTCTTCCTCTTTTTTATTTCTCTTCTTATATCTTTTTCCTCCTCTTCACCTTCTTCTTCTTATTTCCATTTTATAAATAAGCAATCTGAGGCTCATGGAGGTTAAGTAGCTTTCACCCATTAACAAGTACTAGAGTTCAGATTCAATCCCAAATCTGTCTACAGTCTGTGCTCATAAGCTTGGTCAGAATCTTAAATGCCTAGAGAGGTTGGAAGGTTACATAAAAAAGTGAAATGATCCAGGCAGAAGGATTATTTCACTTTCCCTTAATCTCACCAAAGGAAAACAAGAGCATAAGCAAAATAATAAAAAGAAACTATACTTTGCATTGCATTGCAGATATATTATAGAATGATGGAGAATTGTAGAACATGTAAGTAGATGTAGAACATAAAAATATATGCCCTATCTAAGAGGGACACTGTTAATTATTGGGTTTATGGAAATTAGGCTCACCTATGACATATCTTTTGATATTAGAGGAAAAGCTGGATGTCTAGAATCTTAAGTACAATTTCTCTATTTCTAAATATGTATGATTACTTATTAAATTATATAAACAAAAATTATGTAGGCAAAAAATAAAAAGATGTCTCATCCTGACTGTATCTGGCTCACAGGATGCCAGGTTAGTACTTTTGTCCTACACTATGCTGTCTTCAAGGACTACTCCATAGCATTAGCTGAGCACCTGCTGTAAAGCCACCAGGCTGCTCAGCTCAGGAGTAGAAGTAAATGCTGTGCCTTGTTGCTTACGGTCAGCATTTACTCTGAGTGGATGTTAGATTTTGAGTATCATTCTTGGCTGGATGCTTTTGCATAAAATAATTGCCTTAACCCTCACAACAACTCTGAAAAGATTTAATTATCTTCATTTTTCAGTTGAGTATATTAATATTCAGGTTGATTTTAAAGGTCACCCAGCCGTAAGTAGCCAACCTGTGATGTTAGCTTCAGGTCTGACCATGTTCCCTTCATTCTGCAGTGTTGCATCTTTCAGGTGACTTTAATTGCTTCAAGTTAGGGAATTTTTCCTCTTTTTATATTTATCTGATGAGAACCTGACATAAAGAGGAAGTCAGGGGCCTGGAATCATCTTTCAGGACAGATGATACCTTTGCCACCCCTCATTATCTCCACCAGCAGGTCTCCTAAGGATGGAGAAGAAATCAATAGGGTGAAGAAGGAGGAAGAAAACAAGAATCTGCTCCTTCATGGTCCAGAAGCTTTGACATTGAAGTGAGACACTCCCACATTCTGTAGGTGACTGCAAGGACAGACATACAGGAAGGGGACTGGCTGCTGGAATGCCAACCTGGGTGATGAGCCAGGCAGATGCCAACCAGCTGTCTCATGGTGTAAGCCAGACCCAGAACCCTTTATATAAAGACAGCCCTCTGTCCAGATGCTTCAGCCTGAAGGTCTGCCTGCTGTGAGGAGGGTGAGTCTTGTGGTTGGGCCCTGGGATTGGGGTAGGGATGTGTCTCAGGAGATGCCCAGATTCACAAGGGTGAGGCATAGTGAGGGAGGGGGGAGCTGTAAGCAGAGGAAGAGTGGTACATAAACCCGAGGAGAAAAGTCTGGTAGACTTTTACAGGACATAAGAAGAATATCTGTGGAGTTTTTGTGAAGAACTGAGGGTCTGAAGTCAGTGTATTTGCCTTTGATGATGCTGGCTTCCTGCTCAGGTACCATTTTCCCACATCAGGACATCTCACCCTGGAAAAGATGCATTAGTAATTTACACTTTGTGAGAAGAGTTGTGTGTAGGGGGGTTATTTTCCCTAAGGGCATGTGTTTTTAGATATTCTTTATTAATGGAGAATGGAAGCCTTTGCCTTTCATTAGAAGCATTTTCAGTATATCTGGAGCTTATTGAGAAGTGTTTTGTTGGATGAGTTAATTGTTAAATCAGCCATCCTGCTGTGCTGGTCACTGGGCTGCCTGTATATGAGCAGGTAAATTTAGGGAGGGCAGAGGAATGGAGACTGCCTTCTGTTTCTCCCTGGATAAGTGTAGTGTTAGAGAGTATGCCTGAATCCCCCAAGTCATGTTTGTAATGCTCCTGTTGTGTAGGGGTTTATGTGTGCCTGAATGGAGTCTTGTGATTTAGGAATCTTTTACTTTTTGGGTTACTCCATCTTAGGCAGTTATTCCCTGCCTTTAAGAGTGGCTGGGGTAAAATATTTCTGAAGCCAGCACATTGTCCAACTTCAGGTGATTTACAACAACAACCTGCCTGGGCAAGTTGCCATGGTGGTTCTGAGCCTTTCCAAGGCTGGTGTGTTTTGTCTGTGTGTGTTTTGCCTATGTCCACGAGGGTCATTTAAACAAATTCACCTAAAAATACTGAAGGTAGATATGTTAGGTTTGAGCTGCCCAATAACTGACTGGATCCTTTACTTTCCAGTGGATGTTTTGAGCGCAGATGGTGCCTGAATGCTTGCTCCCATATGCTCATTTTTACATGATTGCACATGTGTGTGTTTCCAGTGCATGTATGTGAGGATATCCAAGCTCCTATGGGTGTGGAGACCCCACTTTGGGCTGCAGCCTTAGAAGCACCTCTACCTCCTGTAGAGTGCTCTCCTGCCACTTAGGACAAGGAATCCCGTTGTCTTCAACACCCTCTTGTGCTGGACACTGGTATGCCCACCCTCCAGGGGGAGACCCTGGATGCCTGCACCCTTGGCTGTGCCTTTGAAGTTCCCTCAGATCAGGACTTCAGTTAGGTCCTTTGGCAGATCCAAGACAGGTCTCATGGACAGTGGTGACTAATACTGGGTCCATCTAACTCAGTAAGTGTTCTAGGGTAAAGGTTGAGAGTTGGGGATGAAAGTACAGGGGAGAAGCAGGGTGTCTTCCCCTTCTTCCCAACAACTCACCCTCCTGACACTGATTTTTCTACCGTCAGGTCTCACTCACCTGCCTGCATCAGAACCATGTGTGACCAGCAGCAGATTCAGTGTTGCCTGCCGCTCCCCCAGTGCTGTGTGAAGGGTTCCTCCTTCTACCCCTCCCAGTTCCCCAGTGCCAAGAGCCAGGTGGTGGTCGAAGCCCCTTGTGAGATGCAAATTGTGGAGTGTCCCACATCATGCCCAGTTCAAGTTTCCCAGGTAAAATGCCAGGCTCCATGCCAGTCCCAGACTACGCAGGTGAAGTGCCAGGCTCCATGCCAGTCTAAGACCACCCAAGCAAAGTGCCAGGCTTCAAGCCAGTCTAAGACCACCCAGGTGAAGTTCCAGGTTCCATGCCAGTCTCAAATTTCCAGTGTTCAATGCCAGGCCCCATGCCAGCCTGAGGTGTCCTGTGTGCAATGTGAAGCTCCATGCCCTGTTCAGACCTGCTATGTAGAATGTGCTCCAGTTTGTTATACAGAAACTTGTTATGTGGAATGCCCAGTCCAGACCTTTGTACCCCGTCCAGCTCCTCAGCCTGTCCAGACTTACGTGGCTTGTCCCCCAGTTTCCCAGACTCAGGGAAGATTCTTAACCCCGTGCCAGAATCAGGGCTCCCATGGCAGATATGTCCTGCAGCGTCAGTCCCCGGCTTCCTACAGCAACTGCGTGCCACAGTTCCAGTCCGGGACTTACTACAGCACCTGCGCCCCTCAGCGTCAGTCCCGGGCTTCATTTAGCACTTGTGCACCCCAGTGCCAGGCCCGAGGCTCTTATGGGAGCTTCCCCGCCCAGCGTCGCTCCCAGAGCACCAGCAGATGCCTCCCTCCTCGCCAGCTGCAACCTTCTTACCGCAGCTGTTCCCCTCCACGACGGTCTGAACCCTACTACAGCAGCTGGCTGCCATCAGCATGTTCTTCGAGTTCCTATAACTACTGCACCCCACCGCGCCGCTCTGAGCCCATCTATAGCAGTGGCTGTCCTCGGGGTCCCACTTCAGGCTGCTCTCGCAGATGTGGTCCCAAGTGCCGGATAGAGATTTCCTCCCCCTGCTGCCCCAGGCAGGTCCCCCCGCAAAAGTGTGCGGTTCAGATTCCCCCCATCAGACGCTGCTCTGAGAGTTGTGCCCCACGACCTTCCTGGGGTGCCTCCTGCCCGGAGCTGAGGCCACGTGTAGAGTCACGTCCACTCCCAAGTTTCTGTCCACCACGGCGTCTGGACCAAAGTCCAGAGAGATCACTGCAGCGATGCCCACTTCCTGCCCCACGTTCATGTCCACATCCTGCTCCACGGCCATATCCACGGCCATATCCACGCCCAGAACCACGTGCAAGGCCAGAGCCCCGCCCATGTCCTCCACCACGGCAACGTTCCGAACCCTGTCTGTGTTCAGAACCATGTCCAGCCCCGCGCGCAGTCCCACATCCTAGACCAGTGCAGCGTGAATTTCCCGAGTCACGTCCATGTCCACCGCCCTGTGAGCTCCCAGAACCTTATTCACTTCCAGAGCCAATTCCCCTTCCAGCACCCTGCCCGAGCCCAGAGCCCTGTGTGGAGCCTCGGCGCTGTCCCAGCAGCCCATGCTCGGGACCAAATCCAATCCCACGCCCGGGAGACCTAGGCTGTCATGAGTCCAGCCCGTGCCGCCTGGACACCGAGGCCCCCAGCTGTGGCCCAGCTGGTTATAACCAGTGGCAAAGAAGTGGTGACAGCTTTGGACCTTGTGACGGGATTCCAGAGCCACAGGGTTTCAGTGATTGTGGAGACCAAGGAGGCACCTGTGTTGGACTGAAAGGAGGTTCTTCTGTTGGAACAAAGGGGGCTTATTTTTAAGGAAGCATGTTTGAGACATCCTTGCCTCTTGCCCTGAAAATGTCACGCTTCCTTTCCTAGCAACCTCAATTTCCAACGTTCTATGTGCATCTCTCCAAAGACAGTCGCAGTCTCCCTGCTGCAGGGGTGATGTCCAAACTCCATCGCATGTCATCTCAGGATCCACACCTGGGTTTCAGGCACCTCTCCAGCCTCACATCTGGCTCCTCCCCTGTACACAACCTCAGTTCTAGCCAAATCAGTCTGGCCATCAGGGCACATATGGGTGTTCTCTAGAACATACCTTAGGTGTCCCTGCCTCCAAGCCTCTGCTCACTTCACATCCTCCTTGCATAGACCACTTCTCTGTTATGCCCAGCCTCTGAAATCCAGCCCATCTTTCAAGACCTTTTCCTTGGAGTCTTTTGTTTGTTCTTACCCACGGGAACCTACACTGACTTCCTAGAACCCATTGCATTGTCCATACCAGCCGTTTGGCAACTGCCTTGCAATATCTCTTGAATTATCTCACTTTTAAGATATGTCTGTTTTTCCTGACCAATAAGGTTGTAAACTCCCATTTGAGTGGAGTGAGAATATCCCTAAAGTCCCATGCTTCTCCTGGGGCAAACAGCTGCTCAGCAAATCTTGTGGGTTGGCAGCTTGAGCCATGATCTATCCTGACAGGCAACCCCAGAATCTGGGAGAGAAGGAGCCCTTCTCTGTAACAATAAAGGTGATACCCTCATAGTCTGAGTCCTGCAGAATGTCTGTTTTTTATCCTTCCTGACTCTCTGGGATGAGCTTCTTTATAATTTTTTTTTTCTTGAGTGTATTGTACCTGTGGTCTGAACTTTCCTTAACCGGGTAAGCTTCCTTGTGGGTTTTCTGTCTCCCCTCAGTGTTCCTGGCGTCTGGTGGGAGAAGCTGGATGAAAAGGCAGGAGGAATGAGGGAACAAGAAGAATAACTCTTGCTCCTCAATCTGGGGGTAAAGGTCTCAGGTCTAGGTTGGGCAGGTCACCCAGGTGTGGATGTCAGGAGGGAGAGGGGAGCTTGAGGAGAACTGGAAATTCTCTGTGATATTCCACAGGATACACTCTTCTTTTGTTCGGAATAAACTAGTTGCCCTTTTCTTTTTTTTTGACATTGTAAAAAAGGGAGCACCCACGGTTGTCTTTGTGTTCCTCCACGCTCCTGAATCCCACTGGGCATGAGTGGTCTTGGCAGCATGAAGGTGGGGCTTGGAGGGGCTGGAGAGAGAGGGGTGCCTCTTCTCCCCACGCACTGCCTATGAGATGGGTGCTGTAGAATGAGTGCTCTTGAGGAGAACATTTCCCCAAATGGAGACAGTGCCCTGAGGCCACGAGGATCTGTAGAGGATAAAGGGGGTCCTCTTAAGAGGACAGCAGGGGGTGGCTCTGGTCTGGCCTCACAGATTCAGTTCCACAGTTGGGCACCACAGATCTAAGACCTGGCTCTGAGGATGTCTTTCCCTTGCCCCAGGGATCTGGTCCTGCAGTGTCAGAGGTGGAGACCCAAGAGACACCTGGCAAAGGAAAACTGAGGTTCTTTATGTGAAGTCCATTCTTTCATTTATCTTTTTTACTGGCAAATATTCATTGCCTACCTACCAGGTAGGCACTAGTAAAAGGGACAGAAATAACTCTTCTTTGCTCCCAGAGAGCTTACAGCCTAGAGCACTGGTTCTCAGGGTGGTACCTGGACCAGCAGCGTCAGCACCACATAGGACTTTGTGACAAATACAAATGCATCACCCCAGACCTACTGAAGCAGAGACTCTGGGGGTAAGGCCTGGGAAGCCGGGTTTTAACTAGCCATTCAGGTATTTCTGATGCCCAAGAATGTTTGGTTGTTACTGGTTTAGTAAAATACCTTATACATGTAGAACATGAATATATGTATATGTATGTGTGTGATTTTCTGTATATATATCTTCTCTAATTTTCAGAATAGCCCATCACACAGGCATTATTATCTCACCATTTTGCAGAGCTGGAAACCTAAGCACACAGGCCAAAGCCACACAGCCAGACTCAATTCCAAGCCTACGTTCTTTTCTACTACACATGGCATCTTTCATCTCAGTCATAGTCCCTGCCTCTTCCAGAGATATTTCCTGTATCAACCCAGCCATTTTTCCAAATTACTTTTATTGGACAGGTTATTTTTACCAGTTTTACCTTTGCCTCTTCTTTTCAAATCCAGGCTGCTCTAGGAGTCTATCTGCTCCATGGCACAAGCCCCCAGGGGCCTGGCAGGGCCCAAATGACTCCTGTGAGGCACCCCTATTTTTCCATCACCTAGGCCCCTGACTGGGGGTGGAGAGAGGCTTGAAATACCCAGAGGGGGATTCTCATTAGATCTCTCCCCATGTTCTCTCAAACATACCCTTAAACAAGGACCCTCTTGTCTGGAGGATGAGGGGGGAGCAGTCCATCTCCTCAAAACACAGAAGAAACACAGACCTGGGTGGGAGAGAAGGGCATTCACTCCTAGGAAGCCCCAGCCCCCTCAGGTTCAGGGTACAGGTCACCACACAGGTTCTTTGTTGCAATGACCCATGACCTGCTCTGTTCTCTGGAGATAGACCGTAGCTAGAGAGGCTCAGAGCCCAGTGCTTCTCTCTCCTAGGACACTAGTCTGAACTGGGTCCTCTCACCTCTTCTGACAGCATGCTCAAGTTTGAGCCTCTAGGTAGGCCACCTGTGAAAAGCTACAGCCCATATATGGCAGCTCTGAAGGAAGAGGTGCCCAGGAGTGTGGGTCTGCTGTATCTGTTTGTATGCTGTAAAGTGTGGGGCTTCTAAAATGTATGCACTGATGGGTTGCAACCCCAGAAGCATGGGTTAAGGTCTCCTATGGCCCTTCAGCCTTGGCTTTTGACAGCCCTTCCAATCACCCCTTCCACTCCCCAGCCTCCACCCTTTCATGCTTGACCTGCCTTCCAGTGCTCTGCCTTTTCCTTCTATATCAACCATTTGAACAAAACTTGAAGGGCCAGGGATTGGAATTCCATAGTAAAAAAGACTATAAAAGCCTGCTAAAGGTGCTCAAAGACCTGTGAGAGAATCTCCTCTTTGAATATCACACTAACAATCTGAAGCAGTACACAGGTTGCATGGTGTTGTTTCCATTTCAGGTGAACAGACTGTTGCCCAGAAATGCCAGTGCATCAGGCAAATCACAAACAGTATGAAACAGAGGTCAAGCAGACTCCTAGGCTTGGCATTCAATACGAGGACCTGTCTTCCAGAGATGAGGGGCTAGTTAGTCTGAATGAATGTAAGAGAGATTGGGTCTAAAGACCATGCCTCCCACCTTCTTATATCTGTGTGTAGTTCTCTATCCTTTCCCTCTTTCTAAGCCTTCCTCCCTGGGATTAGCATCTTCACTGTCGAATGAGGGAATTGCACTAGATGTTTTCAGAAGTTCCTTCCAGACCAAGTGGGTTAGCCACAGTTGCTCTTTGTCACAGGCACTAGGCTAGGGTGGAATGACCTGGGAATCCACTTAAAGACACAGAACCCCCAGATCCATCCCCAGACCTATTTAAAGTGAATATTCTCTAGAGAGAGAATCTGGGACTTTCATCTGATAATTATTTTGATCAGCTGAGATAGAAACCATTACTGTAGTGATAACCAGGGTGTGAGGGAGCTTATTCAATATCTACAAGGAGAATTGAAACTTGCACACATCTGGCCACAGCACGAGAAGGAGGTGGACATTGTGGCAAAAAATGGGGCTGACCACTAACTGTTTTTTATGAAAAAATTTATGTAATTACCCTATGAGAGAGTCAAATTTTCTACTCCTCAGTCTAGGAGCACCTCAAGACCAAAGAGTCTCTTCTTTCCTCTCAGTTAAATCCCTAACCACTGCCAACCCCAAAACCCAGAATTAGGCTCTTGTGCATGGCTTAGGGAAAAGGATTGTCTGATATATGTTACAGATTTTTACTGGGAGAAGATAGGCCTAGTTTTGGTATATCCCTCCTTTATTCAGGCATTACCTAACCATTAAGAGGGAGGAATTCTACAATCCATAGTTTGTCCTACAGACTAGAATGGTCCTGGATGAATAAGCAAATAGAACTGTAATGCATAAGGGAATAGCTCAGCTCTTTATAATGGAATAGATATGTAGATAGTAGTAATCAGAAGACAGACAGTGTACACAATATATAGGAGAATAGCCAGGTAGTGAACAAGACTTGGTCCCTGGCCATAGCATACTCCTGATTTCTGGCCTGGTTGGATGTCCAGAGGATCCGCATGCCTGTGGCTTGAAACTAGTTAGGAAGAGAGGGTGATACATGATGATCCATGGGCTTCCCCATCACCAGGGACCATCAAACTCATTCCTCCAAAAGATGAAGCTTCCTGACCTGGAAGACTAAACTAGAAGTATCTGGAAGGCTAGGAATAACCCAAGCTATGCCAAACCCACCCATCATGTTCCTCACCACATCTTGTCATAGGAACCCTGAGCTAGGGTAACATCTTTTCTTTGTTCTTGAATGTTATATCTGTCAGGAAGAAAACCATTTATCAACTTATATTAACACATCTGTTCACTTGACAAAAATTTATTGAGACCTAGCTATCTGCCAGGAATTGTGCTTGGTCCTAGAAATACATTGGTGAGTAAGGCAGTGTCTTGCCCACCTTGAATTTGAGAGACAATAGAGTTTATGAGAGCTTGAACATGGGAGGCAGAGGGCACCATGGAAACCTGTAGGAGGGACACTTAAGCAGCTCAAGTGCCTAGAAGAGGTGCTTACAGTCAGAGGTGTGAAAGATTGGTGGGAGTTATCTAATGAATGGAGGAAAGAGGAGAGAGTTCCAGGAAGAGACAATAACAGGTAGGCCATTGTCATTAAACTGACATCATGACAGACAATGCAGGGAGGAATATTTCCTCCTTAAATGACCATCATTCCTAGTTCCAAACATGTCCATCTTCATCCTGCTCTAATGAACTTCTTATCAATATTTT